AAAAACTACACTGTGAAGATATACCAAAAACAATAAACATAAAAAGTAGTAGTTTATTCTTGAAACTAAAATTTGCAACACTGTTTTGTCTTTTGGTTGAAATGAAAATCGCAACGAGAGAATCGCAACGCGAAATGAAAATCGCAACTAGATAATCGCAACGCGAAATGAAAATCGCAACGAGAGAATCGCAACGCGAAATGAAAATCGCAATGCGATTTTGGTTTCGCGTTGCGATTCTCTCGTTGCGATTTTCATTTCGCGTTGCGATTCTCTCGTTGCGATTTTCATTTCTCTCGTTGCGACAGTCATTCTCTCGTTGCGATTTTCATTTATCTCGTTGCGACTCTTCTGCAAATTGAAACTTGAATGGATTGCATTACTTCAACCAAAAGACAGAACAAAGACAAAGACAAATACTAACTTGAAAATCACAACGAGAGAATAGCAACGCGAAATGAAAATCGCAACGACAGAATCGTAACGCGAAATGAAATCTAAGTGAAATGGTTAATCTATTATTGAAATGACCAGTAAACTTATCATCAGTTTCAATATGAAAAACCTACAATAATGCAAACATTTCAAAATAAAAATAATTAAAAAAACTAACCCTCGGAGGTTGATTTTCCATTTCTGAATATTGTGAGGGATTTCTGACCGTGAATGGTTGTGAGGGATTTCGCCGGAGATGGGGACGGAAATCTTCGGAGATGGGGACGGATTTCTTCGCCGTAGAGAGTGAGAGATGGAGATGGGACTGAGTTGTGATTTTAGGTTTTAGGTTATGAGTTGCGATTACGGGATTTTGTCTTAATATTGGTTTTTGTAATTTGAAAATAAAATACGCGTAGCGATTATAATGGCGCTTTAAATATCGCGTTACGATTTACGGATACGCGTTGCGATTTTATGTATTATCGTTGCGATTTACGGATACGCGTTGCGATATACGGATACACGTTGCGATTTACGGATACGCGTTGCGATTTATGTGTTCGCGTTGCGATTTTCATATTCGCGTTGCGATTTTGGAAAATCGCAATGCGAATTTGTACTATCGCATTGCGATTTTCAAGAATCGCGTTGCGATTTTGGAAACTGATTTGCGATTCTGGGGATCGCGTTGCGATTTTTATTTCGCGTTGCGATTTTGTTGGTCATTTTGGCAAATCCAAAAAAAATTGGTTAAAATCGTATATTATAACTTTTTTTTGGTCACTGAGGCGATTTTCTCAAAAAATAATTTCTCGATGGAGCGGTTATTCTGTGCCCACGTTCTCAAATGGTAACTGTGGGCTTACGTTTCTTTCTACCTTCTCATTGGTTGATGTGAGATGGGATTTTTAACCTTTGCTTTGCTCGTTGATTTTTTTTAATATTTTTCAAAAACTCTTTTTAGTTTTATTACTTTATTTAGATAATCAACATTTTCTTCATCAAAATAACGTTATAAAAGACTATTATTTTTTAATCTAACATATTTTTAAATTATTTTTCTGAATAGCATATATTTATTAATTAAATATGTCACATGAGATAAAGATACACTTAATCATTCATATCTTATAAAAATATAACTAATTAGATACATTTTTCCCTACGCGACATGCATGAGAAGTTACTTTATCTGTTTAGGTTTTTTATTTAGGGTTTTTAAATTTTATGGTCTAAATTTTTTTTATCGAACCTGAACCATCATAATTCGAATGCAAAATATTTTTTTAAAAAAGACTAGACAATGTCTTTGAGATAAAATTATATCTTTGTTCAGCTTATTCTATATTATTATCAATTAAAGTAACTATTTAATAAAATATTTTAATAGCACGAACTAAACGATACCGATAATAAAAGAATTGTTATTATTCTAATATATTTTAGATATTTTCTTTATATTTTGTATTAATACTATATTTTTACCCTTAAAAATTTATAAGTTTAATAAAATTCTACGTCTGTCCATGTTTATAACAATAATCAAACACAACATAATATGTTCACAAATTTATAACACAATTTAAATAATTTAATGGTTAGGTGTTATGGACTCGAGTTTCAAACTTTATGATTTGTGTGGATTCTCATCACATTTTTTATGAATTTTATTTAAATTATTTTAATTTTTATTTAATTTTATGTTATAATATTTGATTTTGATTATAAATCCCTCACATTATATTTGTAGCTATACCCATACCTCTTTAAAAACATTTACAACTAAATTAACTCGATCCAAATTTTATTAGTTTGAATCAATTGTGTTCATCAATTTTTTTTTTCAAAAATGCAAATGTTTGTCACAAAACATCTTTGATTTTCCCCAATAATTCAAATTTTAAATATTTATTATTTGATTAAAATCAATTTCAATTCAAATAATAAACATTATAACAAAAAATAAAATAAAATTTAATTATTATGTAAATGAAAACTCAATTGAATTTACTAATAATTAAATCAACCACTACAATTTGAATCGCTTAATTTGACTACTTTTCTCTTGAAAAGTAACAAAAGAAAAAGACAGAGAGGCTCGCAAAGACTGCAATCCCATAACTGAAACCCTGTCCTTTTATCAATCTCTACTTGGATTTCTACTCAATTTTTTATGGCTTAACATAAAAACATGTCCAAATTATATTATTTTTAAGTATTGTCTAAATTTTATCAATTGTATAACGTTACAAAAATTATCACTTTACGTGTCTCGGTCGTAATTATAGTTAGAAAAACTCATTAAGTGACATGTGTCGTATTCAGCTAATTTTTAAGATTTTTATTTTAAAAAAATTAAAGATTATTATATTAAAAAAACTAATTTCTCTTAAATTACAAAAAAAATTCCAAATCCCTAAAAATCTCAAAGCCCTAATCATACCTCTCTTATTAGCCACGGCCACCATCGTTTACATCGTCCTTGTCATCTCCCTAGTCAAAGTCGTGTGGTGTCACTATTTGCAACTTTTCCCTAGTCAGATGTCATCATCCTTGTCGTTGATTGACCGTCAAAACCGCGTGGTGTCACGATTTGCAACTTTGCTCTTCGTCGGGGTCGCTTATGATTTGTCAATCATTTCTAGTTCGTTGGCTCATGTTCCAATGACTTTTCGTTGACAAATTGATCGTCTGATAGAGATACAGTCGGGTGGAGGTTCGATAACGACAAAGGACAATGACTGACGTGGTTTTCGGGATTGAAATTACTTTGAAAAAAGTGTTATAGTTTGGACACTTATTTTTATGTTAAGCATTTTTTATTAGTTTGAGTAATTATAAGATAATATTTAATCAAAATATTTCTTAACTATTTGCAATGTATACAACCTACAAACACAGTTGTTCATACACAATACCTCTAGAAAGAATAACACTCTTTCTAAACACTAAAATCACTTGACGAATTCGAATTTCTACTATTTTATAGCTGAAGTAGTGATCGATAGTATGAGTCAAAGTTTAAGGGACCACTAGTAAGCATGAACAAATATTCAATCTAGTTGAATTAAATAATTATTTTTAAAATTAATCAAAATTTTAAGTACCACTTTATCATTTGAATTTTTTGAAATTGAGTTCAGTTTCTAAAATTCAAAACGAATCAAATATATTTATTATTTTTTTATCCAAATTTAAATATAATATTTATTTATAATACTATAATACCATTTAATTTCAATTTAAACGATCTTCTCTAAATATCTTCTATATATATATATAAGATTTATAATATTATTTATTAAATTGAATATCATCTTAAATCATATAATATGATATAATTATAATGTTATTTTTAAAGAATATATCTTGAAGATATAAGATTGATAAGAGTATCTGTTAAAAAAGATTGATAACAGTATAAATAAAATAATGAATTAATGAAATTTTTTTTTACAAAGAATTAAGTCAAAGGACCAACTTGAATATAAAACAAAATTGAAAAAAGAAACAAAATATCATAAAAAAACTAAAATTACACATGTATTCTGCATCAGATAAATATAATTCGAATTTAACAGAAGAGAATTTGAATACAAAAAATAAAAGAATCAAAATATAAAATCACAAAATAATCCAATTATTTAGTTAAAAATATAAATGACATCATTTTAATTTTTAATTTTTTTATTATTCAAATTTGACTTGAACTTAGAATCTGAATAAAAACTTTAGGTTAAATCAAATAACTCAAAAATATAAAAAAATTAATTTTTCGAAACTAAAAGGAGCATAAAACATCCTAAAACATAAAGACATGATACATGCATATATTCCAATAAAAAAAAACAATGCATGCATGTATTAAAATTTAGATGAGAAATATTAAACCATAAAAATTTATATACCCTTAAATACAAGTATGAGTTATGGTAAAGAAAACAATACCAACAATTTTTTCTTGCATATATATATATATATATTATGTATTTAACAATCTATTTATTCTTATAATTTTTTTCACCTAACTGTTTTTTTCTTTAAAAACCATACCTAATATTAAATATTGACTTCATTTTAATCCTCCGTAGTTAAAAAATAAACAAAATTACTAACATGATAATTTCTTTTTTTTTTCAAAGATAACATAAATTATCTTATAATGAGAAATTAGCATAACTATTAATTCTTTCAGCATTAAATAATATATTTTTTTCAATGCTTTTACTTTTTTAAAAAATATATATATTTTTTATTAACACTCATCACGAGGATATGGCGAGTTCCTTAAGATATATTAAATATATTTAGATAGTAGACCCACGTGATACAACCTATTAAAAAAATATATCATATGAAACTCGTCACGCCGACATATGAATTCTATAAATACTGTAACATTTGTCATAGATCTCAAAATAAATTTACTATTAGCTTATTGGCCCAAATAATCCACGATTATTGGCTAAAAATTCCTATATGTACGTTAATAAAAGTATTTTTAATATATTTAACATTTCATAGTGTATACGATATCATATGAGCCGACCGATCGTTGATTTCGTCCCATTTTACCGTCAACTAACCCAACAACCAAAATCACCAAATCGTGTGGAATTTGGGGTTGTATTTTTTATTATGGAACAAGATCCCTCTCCTGCAACTCTAACATCGCGTGCCCATAATTCATCTGAGGATCGTGATATGGATTTTCCGGTGACCGGAGCTGATCCGACTTCCTCCATTTGGGACTGGGGCGATCTTCTGGAATTAACCACTAACGATTGCTTTCCCATTTCGTTTGACTATTACAGTTTATCTCCTCCTCCTTTAGAACCTCCAGCTGCGAAACCGAATACAGTTCCGGCTGCCGATCGTGTGAGGAAGCGGGACCCGAGGATGACTTGTTCCAATTTTATAGCTGGTCAAGTCCCGTGCGCCTTCCTCGAGTTCGACGCCCAGCTCGAGAAGCTGGAAGAGGAAGAGACGGGGGCACCGGGAAAGAAGAGGGCCCGAACTGGTCGATCCGGGTCGGTCACGTACCGGTGCCAAGTTCCGGGTTGCGAAGTGGATATTAGCGAGCTTAAGGGTTATCATAGGAGGCATAGAATTTGTCTACGATGCGCCAATTCCAGCACCGTTTTGATCGATGGAGAAACCAAGAGATATTGTCAACAGTGTGGCAAGTAAGCTCTTTTTAACCCTGGCCCCCCGGCCTCTCACTTTTTGGGCCTAGCATAAGTCTATCTGCTTATAATTCATGCTTTGTTATTTTTTAAGCCCTTTTTGTTTGTTTTCATTGTTTGTATATTTAGTTTTAGAAGTTAAATTTTAAGATTACATTTTAATTTAGCAAAAAATATATGGCAAATGTAAGAATGAAACGGCGAATTCAATTTCCCTTCTTTCTGACTCTACTGGAGCTTACAATTAGAATCTTTGGTTCATGGAAGTCTAGTCTCTAGAAGTGAAAATTTGAAATTTAGGCCATGGATGAAGCAGTTATTAATGGTTAAATGTAAAAGCTAGAATAATTTATTTTCCCTGGGGTCAATGTTTTTTCTTGGAGTAAACTGTTATTTGTCTTTCGAATACTTGTTAGGTTCCACCTGCTCTCCGATTTTGATGAAGGTAAGAGGAGTTGTAGAAGGAAACTAGAGCGTCACAACATTAGACGGAGAAGGAAGCCTGCTGGTTCTATGACTGCAGTCAATAAAGAATCTCGGGATGCTGTACAAAGTGATGGCATTGCTTGTGATGATGAGGCCGGAAAAGGCTCTTTAAATTTGATATAGTATATCGAGCCTCAAATAGAACCATCCTCTTTTGTTGAAGCTGTTAGTTCTCCTTGTCGGATGACTTATTATTCTGTGTTATACAGATGGTTCAAACTTGAGTTGCCAGATCATCGAAGAAGAACCAGCCTTTGAGTCTGAAGATGGGCTTGTTTCTGCTCATTGCTCAGCTCCTGCTTTGGAGAATATTCACAATGATAGTGTAGTAACTCTTATCGACAATGAAACAGATGGAGGGAAAGATGATTTCAAGTTTTCAAATTCTGTTTCTTACTCTGACAGTAAGACTGCATACTCATCCATGGTGGGTTCTTTATTTATTCATGCTAGGCACGCCATATCCTTGCATTTTTCTGTTCATTAGAGGAAAGCGTGCCACTGTTGTGTGTTTGTGAATATATATTGATTTTGTTTTTCATTATAGTGCCCTACAGGCAGGATCTCATTCAAGCTTTATGATTGGAATCCGGCAGAATTCCCGCGAAGACTTCGGCACCAAGTACTTTAAACAATTATGCTTCCAGTTTAGTATTTAAATATCAAATCACTTTTGTGGCTAGAGATCCGAGGAATTGATTGACGTGGGTAACTGAATTACAGATTTTTGAATGGTTGGCTAACATGCCTGTTAAGTTGGAAGCCTACATCCGTCCTGGTTGCATTATCTTGACTGTGTTTATTTCGATGCCAAAGAATATGTGGATGAAGGTAATGGTTCAATTAAATGGGTTTGTCATTCTCTTTCTTGGTTCTATTTGGTTTGACTATGCAAACATGTCTGCATACATCACACACATCAATTGTCAAATTCATACTACTTGCTTTCCTCTTTATCTTTTTCTCAGTCAACAATATGAAGATAAAAAGCTTTTGCTGTTATTCGCCTACATAGTTTCTGGAAGTATTGAGTTGTTAATCTGGTGTTCGTTTTGGCAGATTTGTTAGATATTAACCTCTTGTTTTCTTCTACCTAACAGTTATCTGAAAATCCAATGACCTATTTGCACGACTTTGTCTTTAGACCTGGAAGGATGCTATTTGGGAGAGGCTTCATGACTATTTATCTTAATAACATGATTCTCCGTACTAGGAAAGGTGAGAATCAAATGTAAATTTTTACCAACCCATTATTTCCTTTTTATTTTACGAATTTGATGTCTCCAAGCCTTGAAATGGATGATTGGAATTTCTGGAAGTCAATATCCAATTAATCATGATCATCTGCTTGTCTCAACCATCTAATTATGCTTGTAGCAGGAGTTAAGGTTTTTACATGGTGGTATAAGCTCTTGCTTTCATCTTTAATCTAAATTGCTTCTGTTCTTGGTTTAATTTCTTCAGTCTTGTGGGTGCCTTTATTTCATTCATTTAGACCTCTAACTATGAGTAAGGTCTCTTGCATGTGCAGATGGAACTTCAATGGTGAAAATTGATGCAGAGTTGCAGGCCCCAAGACTTCACTATGTTCATCTTTCATATTTTGAGGCTGGCAAGACGATGGAGTTTGTTGCTTGTGGAAGTAATTTGCTGCATCCCAAATTTCAGTATGGGTTTACGATCATAAGTCATTGAACTTTCACTTCTGTTCTTTATTTCCCTGTTTCTTCCCCCCTAAATTTTCAGTTAACAACACTACAAGTGATCCTTCTCTAAACTCTAATCTTCCATTATCCAATTCATTGATGCATATGAAATATGATGTTTTTTTTCTTCTTCAGGTTTTTAGTATCTTTTGCTGGAAGGTATCTGCCGAATGATTATCATGTTGTATCCTCACATGTTCATAGTAAAGAGGGTTCTCCTAGTTGTGATCATCAATTATACAAAATATATGTCCCTCAAACTGAACCAAATCTCTATGGTCCTGCATTCATTGAGGTGAGTTTCATGAAAGTTGTCTTCATATTTTGGTTGTTGCCTCTTCTTGAAAAGAATAATTGACAAAATATTCAATCTATCTTGAGTTGAGATTCAAAAATTAATATCGATCTGGATGAATGTTTCAACGTAATATGTTTGATTAAATCTTGGGGTATTTTTTCCCTTCATATACAGATTCCTTTTGTAGGTTGAGAATCAGTATGGATTGTCCAATTTCATTCCCATCCTAATTGGAGACAAAGAAGTCTGTCCCGAGATGAAGTCAATACAGCAGAGGTTTGACGCATCTGCATCTCGACAGGGTTCAAAATTTTCTGCCACTGGGTCATTTTTTGAGTCATGTGAAGCATCAACTTTAAGACAAAGAGCTTATTCCGAACTTGTCTTAGATATAGCATGGTTATTGAGGGAGCCTAAATTGGGAATTTTTCAAGAAACTAAGGCCTCTTCCCAGATTCAAAGATTCAATCGGTTATTGAGTTTTCTCATACAAAACAAATCTACAGTCATATTGAAGAAGATATTACAAAATCTGAAGATTGTGGTGGGGAAGATGGGATTTAACGGAGCTAATGATTCTGATATAATGTTATTACAGAAATATATGGATAATGCTAGAGATATCCTTAGGGACGACGAACTTCAGAAAGGTGAAATTCCCGAGTGTCGTTCAGAGTACATTGAGCGAGAAAGAAATCAACTTTCTCAAAGCAGCTTTGAGAATGATGAGCCATCCGTAGTTTCAAATTTTTCTCAGGTGAGGACTAAAACTCTTGATAAATAAGCCCATCCCATAGTTCTAAATATCCAAACATTGTAACTACTCGATTGTTCTATATATTTGGTGTTGTGCCTCTGAAAATGTGAGAAATCTGATTTCTGATGTATTATGAGTGGGATTTCTGAAATCTTTACTCATAGTATCGGTATATTTTCCGACAGAAGTATGCTTCTTTTTAAAAAAATCCATATTTTTGAAGAATTATACCCCCATACTTATTTTCTAATATTTCAGATATGGGTGTCGACTGATACTTTATAGGAAAATTGAATAATCGAAGCTAAAGACGAAACCTTAAGAGGGATTTTAAAACCGACTTTGTAACATCTAGCTTTTTAATATTATGGATCATTTCCGTGCTACTAATGAGTGATGGTTTATTTTCAGGTTTTGGATGAAAACACTGATGGTAAATTACAAACAATTATGGCACCAACTACCTCTGGTAGAAGCGAAGAAACTGTTCCACTTTTAAACAAAGAAACTATCATGAATCTGAACCCCAACAAGGATTGCAGGACAAAATCGTGTAGTTTTGCTACCACGAGATTGAGTTCCCGTCCGGCCTTATTAGTAATTGCAACGGCGGTTATTTGCTTAGCCATGTGTGCAGTCGTTCTCCACCTGAAAAGAGTAGGTGAGTTTGCAGTAACTCTACGCAGGTGTTTGTTCGACAGACGAAACAATTAGCACACATGACCAGATAAGGTATGTGCTTCAACACAATATAAATATATGTAAATATATGTAAATATATGTATGCTAGTGTTTGAGAAATCATTCAGTCCGAATGCTTCATGATGTTGTTGAGCTTCACCCAGTTTTGAGTTGGTTTTCTTGATGTATTTGACATTGGTTTTCCTGAACCCAAGTGGGAAACCTAGAACTTGTAGAAGAAGTATGAATGGTACGACTTTTCATTTTACTGTTGTATTTGACACTGCATATTTAGACATGGCTTGGGAGTACGGTGCTCCATGTCCGACTGACATAATTGGCAATGTGAAGGTTGCTGAATCATGTAAGACTGGGGGACCTTTTTCGTTTTTTCATTGTAATCGTATTGCTTTATTTATAATGGTTTAGGGTGATAATAAGGTAGTATTTATTTAGAATCTTTCTTGATCATTGACATCACACATCCTGTAATTGTTTGATCCCAGAATCTCAAAGGAGAACAATATTCTCTTTAAGCACTGGGTCAATCATATAAACTATAATTGTTAAGCAGGACATTTGGTTAGCGGAAAATGTAATCATTAAGATCCTAATCTTTTATATAGTTCTATTCTCATTTGGAAAAAGTTTATTACTAAGAATAACGTTTTTTTTAAATTATTACTTTTGACGTAATGAGTTATTTTATTTGGATCTTTTGTTGTAAATTTTGTTTAGTTCGATAGTAAATAAGGGGTAAATTTATCAAATATCCTTTTATTTTATATTAGTTTAATATTTAAATAATATTATATATATCTAAATAATTATTTAATATTGATGTGTTTTAATTAATTTGTATTTATCTTGTCTCCAATATTATTATTTTTTGACCAAAGAAAGTCGGCTTTTTGACCCAAAAATCACCCTAAAAATAAAATATTATCAATTAGTCATCATTTTTCAAATATTTTTTAATCTAATACCCTTTTGTCGTAACTGTTTTTCGGTTGGATCCCGGAATTGGGATTCGATGTGTATTAAATGAATTGAGAGTCACCACCGATCATTTACTTTACGAAAAGTGGGTTGATCGGATACCTTATTTCTTATCTGATTTGTGTCTTATCAGAGATATATCGGATTCGGGAGTCGATTACAGTCAAAGAAGGGTTAGCACCCTTGAATTGCCCTTTCGGTACTACGTAATTTTCAGTTGTCATTAAGTAAGAAAATTAAAAGTTTAACTCAAAAGGTAAAATTAGGATCCAAAATTACTTACCCTAATTTGATTTGAAAATATCCCTTTAAAAAAGGCGAGAAACAAGTTAGAGGAAAAAGAAAATGAAAGTAAATAAATAAAACAAAGAAAATACATAAATAACACGAATAAAAAAAATGAGATAAAAAATAAGAAAATAAAAGAAGTAAAAGTAAAAATAAACAAGAAAAAAAAGAATGAAGTAACAAATTTAATAATAATAAAACAACAATAAAAATAATGAAGAAAAATACAAAGAAAATGAAAAAAAAGAAAAAAAAGAAGAAAAAAAATACAATTACATAAAAAAATGTAAGTTAAAAGTAAAATAGTAATAACAATTATAATGATAATTATAAAAATATAAATATATACGTTAATAGCAAAAATAAATAGTAATAAATAGTAATAATTCTAGTTATATGAATATATATATATATATATATATATATATATATATATATATATATATATATATATATAAAAAAATAACTTATAAATAAGGTATAAAAATAATAGTAATAATAAGTATTAAAATAAAAATAATAATAATAGTAATAAATAGAAAAACAGAAATAAAAGAAATTAAAAAGAATATGAAAATCAAAGTAATATATAAATATATATATATATATAAATAAAAAAAATAAAGTATAAACGAAATAAAAAATAATAATAATGGAAATATAAGTAAACATATATGATATTAGTAGGAGATTAAATTGAAATAAAAGCTAAATTAGTGGGCAAATGTCAAATAACATTGAAGATTAAAACCGGCAAAATAAAAAAAGTTTTCATTTTTTAATAGATTTTCGCACCTTCATTCCAAAAATGTAATTTGTTTTTGCGAAATAGCCTCTAGGGAGCGTAGATCTGAAATCAAAGTTTCGAAAAACTCCCTCCGGGTCATCGGCTAAAACATTTGTCTTTGGGATTCTCAAGCAAAGAAAACGCGAATAACAACGCATGCAAGTGAAGAGTAAAGAGAAACAAACGAAAGGTAAAAAACTTTCACCTTTATTACTTCGAATCGTTTACAATAGCCTCGAAATCACTTTTTCTTTGCTCGTATTTTTCTAGCGTTCCTTTTGTGTAACTCCTGTGTCCTGGTGTGATAATTACAAGGCTTATTTATAGCACTAAAAAACCCTATTTTAGACTAGTATTTGAGTTCCTAATCCAACTCTTCTTTGTTGGTTACGTGAAGACTCCTCGGTTGGCAGGACAAAATCTGGTGTCTTCAGCTGCCCCTCTTTGCTCATTATCGTGTAACGAAAATGGAGCAAAGATTACAAGACACAAATTTTGTCCATATCGAATATCCTCTATCGTAGAGTTGAAATCTAATATTGAAACTGATTTGTCAATCACAAAATGACTCCATCATTGTGAGGTTGAGTCAAAATTGGAAAATTTTGAGCACGAAATCCTTCGTCGTGAAGTTGAAAACGAGCTCAAAGCTTTTGACAAGTGGCCTTTGAATCGTCTTCTGGCTCAAGATACTTCTTCGTGAAGGTGGAACCTGACCTGAAGACTTTGGTGTTGTGATGTTACAGATGGCCCCTTCGTCGTGAAGTTGAGTCAATCCGTTGGGGTATGATACCCTTCGTTGTGAAGTTGTATATGTATATGGCCCATTCGTCGTGAAGTTGAGCCTTAGAATTGGATATCGTGAAATTGAAATCCAATGTAAGTTGCGTTGCTGCTTGTGTGCACGATTCCCTTCGTCGTGAAGTTGAAACCACGAGTGGTCCCTCCGTCGTGAAGTTGAGCTTGGTAATTGGATATACTTTGTCGTGAAGTTGAAATCCAAGTAAGTTGTATTGCTCCGAGTCCAATATCCTCCGTCGTGAAGTTGAAATTGGCTCTGGAACTAGGAAATTGTTTGTTGACAGTCAGCCGCCCCTTCGCTGTGAAGTTGAGCTTGTGCTGTCTCGAGTCTAATATCCTTCGCTGTGAAGTTAAAATTGACTATGAAATTGGGAAGTTGTTTGTTGACAACCAGCCGTCCCTTCGTTGTGAAGTTGAACTTGTGCTGTCTTGAGTGTTGAGCCTGGTAATTGGATATCCTTCGTCGTGAAGTTGAAATCCAAGTAAGTTGTATTGCTCTGAGTCCAATATCCTCCGTCGTGAAGTTGAAATTGGCTTTGGAACTGACAAATTGTTTGTTGACAGTCAGCCGCCCCTTCACCGTGAAGTTGAGCTTGTGTTGTCTTGAGTCTAATATCCTTCATTGTGAAGTTGAAATTGACTCTGAAAGTTGTTTGTTGACAATCAGCCGTCCCTTCGCTGTGAAGTTGAACTTGTGTTGTCTCGAGTCCAATATAATTCGCTGTGAAGTTGAAATTGGCACGATATCCTCCGTCGTGGAGTTGAAATCGTGGATGTGTGGGTACGATATCCTCCGTCGTGGAGTTGAAATCGCGGATGGCCTCTTCATCGTGAAGTTGAGCCTTGACTTGAATATCATTCGCCGTGAAGTTGAAATCCAAGTATTGAACGTTGCGGGTAGACACAATTTCCTTCGCTGTGAAGTTAAAAACATGGATGACCCCTTTATTGTAAAGTTTGGCTTCGAGCTAGATATCCTTCGTCGTGAAGTTGAAATATACTCTCGAACAAATTGTGTCGCTTCGAGTTCAATATCATTCGTTGCGAAGATGAAATTGGCTCTAGCTAAAACCTGCAAAGTGATGCATATATGCGATGGATGCAATGCCCTTAGGTATGCCTAAAATGCATATGCAACATATGTTATTTTGGGTTCTGGAGAAAAATCTCGATCTCCGATTGCATGTCTGGAATCTTGACTCTGGAATCTTGAAATTCTGATCCCTGATCTCGAATTCTTCAAATATTCAAATCTGATGTGTACATTCTATTTGTTTCTTGATTTGGGAAATGCTTCTCAACCAATCTCAAGTATGAGCCTTGATCGGCTTCCGAGTACCTGTACTTTTCAATGAATCTTTGTACAGTAATATGCGAATATCTTTTGCATAAGTAAATAAATCATTAAGTTTAAGCTCAATCCAAGATGCTCAAAAGGAATTGGTGTAGGGAAAAAAGATTGTCTTTTATTCATAAGGGAAAAAGAACAAATAATACATGACAAATATTTTGAAATATGAAGACATGATGAGGTGAAAATAAATGTCTTAGATTTCAATAATGTGGGCACTTCTGAGCTGAAAAGCCGTTAGGTGACCTTGAATACAACCTTTGCCAAAGGATCTTCGAGAATGCGACAACATTCAGGAGAGTGCAACATTTCTCCGACTCGTTGAGTCTGTGGAAAATTCAGATGCCGGAGAGTTTCAACTGTCTGAATTTCTTGAATTATCTGAATCGCCCTTTCAGGGTTTCAACTTGAATCCATCCTTGGTTGCAAGATGCCCTTTGCGGGTTTTCATCTTGAACCCACCTTATTTTTTTGTTCTTTCTCATTTTTCTTTTGTTCTTTTTTCAATTTTTTCAATTTAGGGCGCCCTTTCGTGTTTTCACCCTAAACGTTTTTTTTCATTTTTTTGTTCTTTTTTCCTTTTTCCTTTTTTTTTACTTAGGACGCCCTTTCGGGTTTTCATCATAAGCAAAGTATTTCTTGACTGCATCCGAATTGATGGGATGCGACAGTTCGGGTTCGTCTATTTCACCCAGGACAAGGGCTCTTCCGGAGAAGGCATTTTTCACGACATAAGGTCCTTCCCAATTTGGCGTCCATTTTCCTCGAAAATCTTTCTGGACTGGCAAAATTCTCCTTAGCACCAAATCTCCTTCACGAAATATTCTCGGGCGTACCTTCTTATCATGTGGTCAAATCATTCGTTTCTGATAGATTTGACCATGGTGAATGGCTTTTAGTCTCTTTTCATCTATCATGTTAAGCTGATCGTATCTGGATTGCACCCATTTTGCGTCATCCAATTTAACTTCTGTCAAGACCCGTAATGACGAAATTTCTACTTCAATGGGCAGCACTGCTTCCATTCCATAAGCTAATGAGAATGGAGTTGCCCCAGTCGAGGTTCGTACTGAGGTTCAGTAAGCGAACAAAGCGAAAGACAACTTCTCATGTCAGTCTTTGTAGGTCTCGGTCGTCTTCTCCACTATCTTTTTAATGTT